GACTGAGCAGTATTCCATTGTATATATACACCACATCTTCTTTATCCAATCATCAGTCGATGGGCACTTGGATTGTTTCCATGTCTTGGCTATTGTGAATAGTGCTGCAATGAACATAGGGGTGCATATGTTACTTTGGATTGTTGATTTCAAGTTGTTTGGGTAGATACCCAGTAGTGGGATAGCTGGTTCGTATGGTATTTCTATTTTTAGTTTTTTGAGGAATCTCCATACTGTTTTCCATAGTGGCTGCACCAGTTTGCATTCCCAGCAGTGTATGAGGGTTCCCTTTTCTCCACACCCTCTCCAACATTTGTTATTTTTAGTCTTAGCAATTAGAGCCATTTTAATGGGTGTTAGATGATATCTTAGTGTAGTTTTGACTTGCATTTCTCTGATGATTAGTGCTGTTGAACATCTTTTCATGTGCTTATTGGCCACCTGTATATCTTCTTTGGAAAAATGTCTGTTCATATCCTCTGCCCATTTTTTGATCGGGCTGTTTGTTATTTTGTTGTTCAGTTGTGTGAATTCCTTATATATTATGGAGATTAACCCCTTGTAGGATATATGATTTGCAAATATTTTCTCCCAATTGATGGGTTGTCTTTCTGTTTTGATCCTAATTTCTTTTGCCTTGCAGGAGCTCTTTAGTCTAATGAATTCCCACTTGTTTATTTTTTCTTTTCTTTCCTTTGTCTGAGAAGACATGGTATTCGAAAAGATCCTTTTAAGTTTGATGTCAAAGAATGTACTACCTATATTATCTTCCAGGAGTTTTATGGTTTCAGGACTTATCTTCAAGTCTTTGATCCATTTTGAGTTTACTTTTGTGTATGGCATGAGATGGAATGTCCCTTTGATCATTATATACTGCCCCTCTTTGTGTCTCTTCACCTGTCTCATCTTGAAGTCTTCTTTGTCTCATATAAGTATTGTGACACCTGCTTTCTTTTGTTTGCCATTAGCTTGGAATATCGTCTTCCATCCCTTCACTCTGACCCTGTGTTTGTTGTTGGAGCTGAGATGTGTGTCCTGGAGGCAGCATATGGTTGGGTTTTGTTCTTTAATCCGTCTCACTGCTCTTTGTCTTTTTATTGGAGAATTCAATCCATTTACATATAGGGTGATTATTGATGTATGAGTGCTTAATACTGCCATTTTATCACTCATTTTTCTGGTTCTCTTGCATTTCCTTTGTTTCCTACCCCATGTGTTTCAGTCTATCAATTGACTTATATAGTTTTTTATGTTGGGTTTCTTAGTTTTCTCCTTATTTATTATTTGTGTCTCTGTTCTGCTCTTTTGTTTAGTGGCTACCATGAGATTTGTATTCAAAATCTTGTAGATAAGATATTTTCTGATGGCTCTTATTTCCTTAGACTAAACTGATTCAGTACCTTTCCTCTTCCCCTCCTAAGTTGTTTTTCTCATATCTTATTCCATCTTGTGTTGTGAGTGTGTGCTTAAAATGACAAGATTATCTTTGTTTTTGGTGTTTTCCTTCCCTTTATCTTTAATGTTATACTTGAGTATTTGCTATCCTATTCTGATTTTGTCTGCCTATTTATCTCTTTACTCCAAGCTTTGTAACCCCTTTCTCCTCCTTTTTTTTTTTCAGGTATGAGGACCTTTTTGAGCATTTCTTATAAGGGGAGGTCTTGTGACTATGAACTCCCTTAGCTTTGGTTTTTCTGAGAAATTTTTTATTTCTCCATCATATCTGAAGGATATTTTCGCTGGATAGAGTATTCTTGGCTGAAAGGTTTTGTCCTTCAATGATTTGAATATATCATTCACGTCTCTCCTAGCTTGTAAGGTGTCTGCAGAGAAATCTGCTAAAAGCCTGATAGGGGTTCCTTTGTAGGTCATTTTCTTCTGCCTCGCTGCCCTTAGTTTTTCTTTGTCATTCACTTTTGCCTGTTTCACTATGATATGCCTTGCAGTAAGTCTTTTTACATTGACATATTTAGGAGATCTGGTAGCCTCTTCCACATGGATTTCCATGTTCTTCCCCACGTTTTGGAAGTTCTCTGCTATAATGTCTTTGAACAAGCTTTCTGCTCCCTTCTCCTTCTCTTCTCCCTCTTGAAAATCTATAATTCTCATGCTGTATTTCCTAATTGCATCGGATATTTATTGTAGACTTTCTTCACTTCTTTTTAGTCTTAGTTCTCGCTCCTCCTCTATCTGGAGCATTTCAACATGTCTATCTTTGATTATGGTGATTTGCTTCTCTATGATGTCCGCTCGAGCATACAGGGAATCCATATTTTGTTTTATCTCATCAGTTGTGTCTTTCATCTCCAGTATTTCTGATTGATTCTTCTTTATAGTTTCTATCTCTTTTGTGAAGTAGCTCCTGAACTCGTTGAATTGTTTCTCTACATTCTCTTTTAATTTGTTGAGTTTTTGATGATAGCTATTTTGAATTCTCTGTCATTTAGATTACATATTTCTGTGTCCTTGGGACTGATTTCTGGGTACTTGTGATTTTCTCTCTGGTCTTGAGATTTAATATAATGTGTGATACTGCTAGAGGGTGTGGCTTTGTTCTTTCGCATCGTGGTATTATTTGGTTGCAGTTACCACCTATCGCCACTGGAGGGGGAGTGAAGAGCCACGTATTCCGAGCCCTCTGCATTCCGCTGGGATCCTAGGCGCTGGGTGGATGGGGGAGAGGCGCTTTCTCCTATGAACTGTCCGAGGCTTACTTGCTCTGCTCTGGCTGTCTGCTCTCCTGGGATGTTTGCTTGATGAGCTCACCCCCCACAATAGCTTTCACCACAGTAGGGAGCTTCCCCCTAGGCTGCAAGGGCCCTCGGGGATCTTTGATGTTCCCACAAATGGGCATCCCCTCCCCTCTTCGAGGCCGCTTGCAGTCCCAGATCACAGTCTTTTGGGGAGGGAGTGAAGTTTTCTCTTACCCCGTTGCACCTCATCTGAGGGGGGCTCCAGCCTCTCCACCCTCTGACATCTGGCCGTGTGGGTCTCTCAGACGTCTTTTGTGTTGTGTGGATGTCCTCTGTTGGAGTGTGAATGTGTTTTTCGTTGTATCATGGAGGGGAGAGATCGCCAGGAGGACTGACTCTGCCATGATGCTGACGTCACTCCTGAAAAAGAAACTTTTTCAAGGAACTGTGAAAAAGAACCAAATAGAATCTCTAGAAATGAAAACTATAGTAGCCAAAATGCAAAACTCAATGTACAGTACAGGACTAATAACAGATTAGATTCAGCTGAAGAGGGAATTAGTCAACTAGGAAATAGGTCAGGAAAAAATTACTTAAATGCAACAGAGAAAAATACAAAAAATATGGAAGTGAGGTTAAGAGAAATGGAAGATAAAGTGAGAGAGTCTAACATACATTTAATTGGAGTTCCAGAAGAAAAGTAGAGAAGGGCTGGGGCATATTTCAGTTAGTAATGTTACACAACAACCCCAAATTTACCATCTTAAAATAACCATTTTATTTGCTCACACTTTGTGGGTCTTGCGTTTGGAAGGGCTCAGCTAGGTGGTCCACACATGGAGTCTCCATAGGGTTGGTGTCAGATGTCAGCTCAGGCTGTGGTCATCTGAAGGCTCCACCTAGAATGGACACCCAGCATGGCTCACTTAGGGTGTCTTTTGATTCTGGCTGTCATCTAGGAGCACAGCTAGGTCTGTAAACTGGAGCTGCCTCCACATGGTCTCTCCAGTCTCAGTGTTGTCAGCCTTCTTACGTGGCAGATGGTGTCTCCAGGGGGAGCATCTCAAGAGAACCAGGCAGAAGCGGCAGGGCCTTTTATAACCTAATCTCAGAATTCATATGGTCTCATGTCCACCAAACTCTGTTGGTCAAAGTCACAGATTCAACTAGAAGGAGCACAGATCCTGTCTCTTGATGGGAAAATTATTAAAGAATTTGGGGACTCCAAACTCAGGTGTGAAGAGGAGACATGGCTCAGCTGGTGCTGGTGTCTGGGCTCACAGGAGAGACGCCAGGGGCTGGGACCCAGGCCTCTTCAAGGCTCTGCTGCTAGAGGGACAAACTGCTGCTGCCACTGTGACAACGTTCTGTTGGGATGCTGTTGACAGGAACCACAAGCCAACAACCCCTCACAAAAATAAAACAAGAAGGAACAAGTCCCTTCTTTCTCCTCCAGCTTTGCAGTCTCTCTTGAATTTTAAGACAGTGGAGTATTCTTCATAATATCTCATGCTCCTCTTTACAGTTTTTGTTGTGGGTAGAGCAGAGTGGCATCGTAGCCACATTAAACTACACAAATTCAACTAGCCATGCTCCTTCACTTTTTCTTTCTCTTGTTTAAAAGAGAAAACTTTTCACACTATAAAATTATGTTTTGCATATGTATTCATGATAAACTATAGCACTATTCATAATAGTGTACTGTACATAAAACTGTGTATGCTATATGTTATGGACAGTTTAATGAATTTTTCGAGGATAAATTTAACTTTACTTTCGCTAGATGCACTGGTTTTAGAATCCGAGCTTATCTTACAGAGGTGATTCACATTAAAGGAGAGTATGAAGAAGACTTTCCGTTACCTTCCTGCTTATCTCATTGTAACTCTGATAAAGCTGATATAACCATTTCCAAAATATTCTAAGAATACTCTGCTTTAATCCTTACTGCCTCTAATCCTTTAATCCATACTAATCCTTACTTTAATCCTTACTTACTCAAAGATGAAACGGGCACTCGTGATATGAATCATATCAAGCATGAGTGGAATGCTCCCTACGAAGCTGCAAACATCCTGAGGTCACAACCTGAGAGTTGATGATTTCTCCATCTTCCTTGGCTTCTTGCCAACTGTTCTGCACAGAGTAGATGCTAGAAAAAAAGCTTGCAAAATGAACAAAGGATATACTAATGTTGCTTTTTCTCTGTATATACTGAGGCACTATGGTTAAATTTGTCAGTAAGCCAGTTTGCATGGATTAAAAATTTAGTCTGAAGAGCTTTCTCCCTCTCCCCTGTTCTTTCAGTTTATATACAAGAACACTTTACCTGAGATACAGGCCAAAAGTGAAGGTAAGGCCCATTCCTGGGGGGGGGGGGGGGGGGGGGGGGGGGGGGCGTGAAAGAGAGAGAGAGAGTGTGTGTGTGTGTATGTTGAGGGAATGGGGGGGCTGGGAGGATGGGATGGAGGTGCAAGAAGGTAGTGGAGAGAGTACAGGCTTTAGAACCAGATGCTCTTGAATTGTAAGTCTTCTGCCTACTGTTCTGCAAATGCCCAGCTCCATGCTTGACAAAGTAGATGCTTAATACATTTAAATAAATTAAATAAGAATAGTTTTTGAGATCTTGTGCAAGTCTGGAAAGAATATGCCGCACTCAGGCTACTAATACCAGGACAACTGCTGGCAAAGCTACCAAGCACTGTAGTCATAACCCATAGATTCTATTTCAGGGAAAACGTGGAACAATTTTATCTTCTTTCATTTTGTCCTAACTTGTTTCCCAAACAGTTTCTCTTTGGAATCTGGCCAGTGATCCTGTTTGAGCCTCTCAGGAAGCACTGATGAATTATTCCACCAAGAAAACAAAAAAGCACCTACTACAGGCCAAATGAATAAGGAAGTTCTTAAAGATCTACGCATTCAAGTATATCATGACCATCACAGCAAATGAGTGACTTTCCGACTAATGCTGCCAACCACACAGAGAATGAGGAATGGGGCTTGTTGGATGTTTAGCTCATGCCTTTATCTCATTTGTCCTCTTCCCCCTCCCCGTCACCAAAGATGTTTAAAATGAAATAGATGTGATATGTGTATATACTTGAAAGCTGGAAAAATTGGGCTTTTCTTGATTGTTTAACAGTTTGTGGTGATCATAGGAAATTAACCTTTTTCTCTTTTTTGACAAGGGTTGCATGCGAATTATACTTTTCTTAACATTTGATTAAATAATGAAAACAGCTAAGGGCTGGCAAAACCCCATATCCAGATGGCCAGCAGTGAGCTGGCACTTAGCTGTGTCAGCCTTGATTTATATTTTTGTCATAGTAACCTCACGGATGGTTTTCCAAGGTGAAAAAGAGCTGTCTGTGGGATTCTGGCTGCCTCCCTCTCTGTAGTTGGAGGGTCATAAGCAAGCTCAGACCTGCCACTTGGTCCTATACTTGTCACATCCCAGATTTGTGGTGGGCTCTGGGGTTGTCAGTGTATGGCCATAGCCAGTCAGAGTGGGCGGGTCATCTTGTAACCTTTCTGAAGGTCCACAAGGCACCTGTAGAATGTTGTACCTCCAAGCCAGTTAAAGTTGCTCTGTTTCCTTTGATCTTTGCAGATCTTTAAGTTGTCACTGTTTTTATGGCTAGGCAAACTTGATTTGTGGTCTGGCCTACCCATATTCCATCCTCCTAGCATAGTTTAAAGTTACCAGTTAAGGTCATTATACTCTGACTTTTTAAATTATGCAGTATTTTCCAGTTTTCAGAGAGGCCATGGTTATTCCCAGGGAAATGTGTCGAGTTAACTAGAGCTAAAATGATCAGGATTCTATTTACATAAACCCTATTAGAATACCTGATCCTTCATTTTTTGAAGGAAATAGATATAAGGATTAAGAACAGCTCTAACTTACTTGAACTTGTAACAGAACTCCCAAAAATTAAAGTGCCAAGAAATGGTAGTGAAATCTCATTGTAAGGCAGCTAGTTCTAATTTGGATTTGAATGTATAACAAACTGAATCGCCTTTCACAAATATAACACCTGCCTGGAGTAAACCCCTCATCTGACCCCTTTGCTCGTATATCACTGTATTTGGAGCTCTGTGCCGTGTAGCAGTTTACCACTTTTCCTGCTTACATTATTATAAAATCCAGATTGTTTTTATCACATGGTGACATTACCCCAGATTAAATCCTGAGCTACAGCTTCAAAAAGAACACCTTTTTTTTCTTATGCAAAGGTATAAAACACTTCTGTCATTTTCCCAGTATTCAGTAAGTAGCCTTGGTACACATTTAAAACCAGTACAAATTTCTTTGTTTTCCTTCACCTACTGACTTTAGTTTTTGTCCAAGTAACTATTTTCCTTACTTTAGCAAGCCAACATGCCATTAGGCAGATACTTCCACCTACTTTCATGATCTTCCAGCGGGAGAAACACTTGCCAAAACAAATCTAAAAAAACTTTGGTTGTGCCTTAGCAAAGTATAAAATTAAACAGTTCTAAAACACTGTTCCTTCTTTTGCCACAAAATTCTGGCTCCTGGCCACATTTCCTGTGCAGCTACCCTGGCTATCAGCTGTCTTACATTTCTTAATGAGTGCATTTGTTTCCCCCTATTGTCCTTCTGTACTGCTCATTCACGATATACTTGGGTGTGCTTGATATAGCAACAAAGGCACTTCCTTCCTGACAACGCTGCTGAACACTGTGAGCCTGAGGCTCTGCAGGGTTAACGGCAGATTAGGGTACAGGGACACACCCTCGCCCTGCGCAGTTGAGTGCATAGTGTTGAAGAAGCAGTTCAGCCGCCCCCAGCGCTGTCGCTTGTTGAATAAAGTTGTCCAGACCTCACTGGAGGAGCATCACACCACTGGTTGAGTTGTAACACTGCCGCCAGTTCTTCAGAGACCCTTGTTTCTCTTGTGAAAACAGACAGCCTGAAAGCGCAGCAAAAAAATATTTTAGGAGTGTTGAGCAGAAAGCAGAGACTAAATTCAGGCTCTTGAATTTTCTACGTTACTTTGTGGCTCTCTTTTTCACAACCTAAGTGTGAGCACACTCAAGACTCTCTCGCTCTGCCATTTAGAGTCTTATGGAAATACAGCTGACCTTCAGGATATTGCTAAACTGTCTTTATTTCAATGGCTTTCTTTTTTTCCTTCTGGGATTCTGGGTGGGCATTACAAGTTGGATTACCACCCCCTCCCTTCCTTTTATCTTCTTGAAAGACTTCCTGTTAACTAGAGTGTACAAAAAGCCTGTCTCCTGCTGAGCCAGTGATGGGTTTTTGCATGTCACCTGATGTGAAAGGTGCTCATCGCAAGCCCGGTGGCAAATTATACTTTAGGAAACATTATTTTATGAGGACCTGAAAGAAGCAGTTTGCTAGCACATTTTAATATCCTTCCCGTGCTGCCATTTTCACTCCAGAAAATTGAAAGCAGTTCGACTTTTTTTTAAGGGAAAACTAAGTGAAAGGTGGTGGTTCATCTGCTTGGTCACTCCACCTGCCCCTCCCCACCTTGGTGCTTTCAAGAAACATTGCCTCCACCTGAAGTGATCTCTTTTATCCTTTGCTGTTATATAAATTGATGATTAACAGGAGAAACATTTGTTTTTGAATAGTCTACAAATGAGAACCCCAAATAGTGGTATTTGGTTTAGCAGAATTGCAATTAGATCAAATATTTTGGTTGAACCTTAGTGCAGATTTTCCAGGACTGTTAATCTGGGCTTTCCTTATACTAAGAGGGCTTTCTTATATGAAGGAGAGGAGGTGTGAGTCAAAGAAAACCAAGAGATCAAAAACTTCAGGTACACTGTGCATGAAAATCTTTAAATGCCTGAAAAGAGTAAGTTCTGTTTTAATGCAGCATCTTCAGAATTTAACCAATGCCCCTAAAAGTGTCTAATAATTTAGTTTAAGGTTTTCTCATGAGTCCTATGGGTTCCATATTACTTTGCTCTTGAAAAAAAATAGTTTGTTGCTAAGTTTGACGGTTTTAGGTCTCAATTCCACATTTACATGACAGAAGAAATTCTTTTAACCCTGTGGTTTATGCTGTGCTGCCGGATAAGCATTTATGTAAAATTGCTGTCTTAAAGAGAAGCAGTTAGAATTGGCATTGGCAGCTGTGTGGTGGCTTGTGGATCTCCCTCTGTCTTACGTTTTACATCGTATCAATGCCATGATATAATCAGTTTGACCACTTTGTCTTGTTTTTCAATGTGTAAAATTACAGCTTATTCACTATGCTGTAAACATTTGGAAATAATGACTGAAATTTGACTAAAAGCAGGTAAACTTTACTCCTTTGTGGAGGAGGCTGCAAAATGAAAAAAAAAAGAACAGTCATGACCCATCTGATTGCAAGACTTCAATGCTGTTTTTTAAACCGTTGAACTTCCTTTAAGAATAAGAAAACCTTTTTTTTATGTATATAACTAACTGTAGTTGCTAGATGAGAAGTTGCCTGTATCGCTGAGGTTATGTGAGCACGCCACTGGACTCAACCATTGCCTGCTGGGGAGAAAAAATCTCTCTGCTACCCTCTTAGATTCAGTGCTTGAGGCCTGTGAATTAAACCGACGAATTAGCAATCAAAAAGGCAGATTTTTATTCATGTATGTACATGAGAGTTCAAAGTGACTCAAGGAGGCAGAATTAGGGGCTTATATCCCATCTTAGTAAGGGATGGGGAGGGGGAGAAAGGGCACTGATGGGAAAAAAAATGATTTTTAGGAAAAATAAATGGTCCCTTAGAAGAATAGATGAGAGATATGATAGTTTTGTGATGATGTCTGTTTTGGTACCAAAATTCCCCCAGGGGAGAAGATTTACGACAGTTGAGTTCTTTTGGGAAGTTCTGCTTTTAGGAGGACACAGGGAGTTCAGGAAATAAAGCCTCTACCTGCATCTGTTGATTCTTAGATGCCTTCAGCTCAAAATAATTTTCATGCCACATGGTGTATTCTGGACGCCTGTATTTCCCCTGTCTAAAACTTCCCAAGAAGTTTCACAAACCAGAAGCCGAGTTGGAGGCTGTGGAGAGAAGATGCGAGTTAGCAGTTGGGAAGTAGGAGATGTGCAAAGGGAAAGAAGACAAAGACATAGACACAGACATTTTGTTTTATGGAAAAACAAAAACTAATGGCTGGAGCAGGTTATAAACTCAGTTTTTAAGTCAAGAGGGCAGTCAGTCAAAAGGATTTCCAGACCTTGGTCTCAAAGCATCTTTAGATGGTGGAGTAAGGATGGTAGTGGGAGTCTCACAGTCATGGCTATTTCCCAGAGCTCAAAGGATTATGTTCTGGTGAACTTCCTGAGTGGCCCAAACTGTTGTGGTAAATCCAATAACGTTATATCAAGTTGTCCAGCTTCAGGAAAAGAGCAGTTTTAGTTCTTCGTGATGCTAAGTCAGAAGGGTGGAAGGAAACTAGAAATGTTAATTACTGACAAAAGGCTCAAGATGGCAGGATCCAGCTTACACAGAGGTGAAAATAGCTCAAAGACAACGAACAAGACTAGAATCTGATAATCCACAAAGGAGGATTAGTGTTTTCCATTGAAGCATAAGATCTCTCTCATAATCCCTCCTATTTTTATCAAAGATAATCAAGGTAAGACTATTTTTGTTTACAAGACAAGTCTAGTCTCATCAAACTTGGCCTGATTGTTTATGTAAGTTCAGCAAGAATAGTAACTGACAACATAGGTCTTTTTAAGTTTGTTTTGCTGGAACTTTTAATAGGAATCTCAGATTGGATTTTTAAAAGCCTTGAGGCTAGGAAGCCAAGCCAAGAACTTACCATCAGACTTCACTTGTGGTACCTACAGATTTGGATGAATTCTTCCTTCTCAAGGTCCCCAAAATATCCTAAGTGTCTTGGGGCTGCGAGGAAGTAGGTGCCCTGATGCACTTGTGAGGTAGGAGCACTGTAAGCCTGGTCCCAGGCCGGTTGTCCAGGAGGGCTTTGTAGGCACTGGCTCCTAAAGTCAACCTTAGTCCCTTAAAACTGGTCACACCTGGTTCTGCGCGCATCATTCTCAAGTCGGACATTCCAGTCAAAGCCTTGGTGATAGAGCCAGTGTTTCCAATTGTGTCTCGTTACAAGGAGAACAAATTCTCATTGAACTTACTCAAATAACTATATTGCCATGAAAATAAGAATATTCAATAAGGGTTTCCAAATTTTGGAGGCATCAGGCAGGGAGAAAAGATAAATGTTTCATTTTTGTTTACAAAGATATAATTTACTAAGTTGCCCTAAGTCATAGATAGGTTAAGAGAAAAAGGGTTCCTTAAATCCAAAAAAATAGAACATAGAAGAACCAGCGGTATTCCGAGCAAAAGTCGAAGAAATCATAGTTGTTCTTTATCAGTCCACTCAGTCCCATGTGATAAATCCAGGTCTTTGTTGATCTTGGGTTCCATTAGTTCTGGAAATCATTATTCAGTTCAGTGGTATGATCTTAAAGTTATGTAAGCAGTGACATCAGAAGCCTGTACCCCAGAGTATCTGTTACAGTCTTTTCCATGCTTCTCTGAGAGAGTCCTTTTTTTTGTTGACAGTGAAGCCTGCAGCAGATTACAAGAGGTTTCAGAAAAGTATCAGTAACACACTATCTGTGAATGACATAAGGCTTAAAATGGCCATGCTTAAACATCTGATGTGTTCATTATAATACAATTGACAAGGAAATTTGGTTGTCTCTGTGACAGTCAACATGTTAAGATAACTGGAGTTGTGAAGGATAACATTATACCAGGACAGATCATCGACAGCTAGGATGAACAAATTTCTACCGGCCGGCCCAGTGGTGCAGCAGTTAAGTGCAAACGTTCCACTTCAGTGGCCTGGGGTTCGCCAGTTCGCATCCTGGGTGCAGACATGGCACCGCTTGGCACGCCATGCTGTGGTAGGCATCCCACATATAAAGTAGAGGAAGATGGGCACAGATGTTAGCTCAGGGCCAATCTTCCTCAGCAAAAAGAGGAGGATTGGCAGCAGATGTTAGCGCAGAGCTAATTTTCCTAAAAACAAACAAAAAACACAAATTTCTAGAAATTTCATATGCTTTCTGAAATATTTATATTAATAACATATACCCATACAAATATAACCTAGAGAGGGTTAACCATCACTTCTTATTTGGCAGTGCTTGCCATGCAATTTAACTTATCAAGTAAACCCAATTAGTTTAACATCTCTCTTTTTACGAGTGAGACACCAACTCCTTTGAGATTTTCCAGGGGTCCTCTGGGAAAAGTCAGAGGTCAAGAATACTTCATTTAGAATTCTATTTGGGGGAAGACATCTCTAGGTTTGAACACCTGATTAAAGAAGATCTCATGTGACTGTGAAACACTAGTTACCCACGTGACTGGAGTGACAATAACTACAGTCTCGTACTAGGAGCAGACCAGGAATCCAAGAAACTGTCCTTTTAACAGAGAATTTCAACCTCCAGTTTTGCATCAGTACATTACTGAGCTCATTAAAATATATATATATATAAAAATATAAATAAATGCATTCAACCTTAGCCTGATATGAATAAGGTCTTTGCCCCCCCACTTCCCTCCTCTTTCCCCCTCTCCCTCCCACCCCTCCTTCGGCAGACCCTTTACAACTTGCTATACTCGCTCAGGTTTTTCTCCTTCACTTTGCTCCTCATTCTGGAACAACCTTTAAACCACCACCAAACAACTACTTTAGGACCAAACTGCTTTCCTTTTTTCCTTAACAACAACACATCCTTCAGACTTTTCAGACCTTTCTGATTGCCTCCCTTCTTTACTGTTTCTAGTATTTTCATTTACTTATTGAGTAGAGTTCTTAACCCTTGGTAACCTTAATTTTTAGTGAAAATGAAGTAGACAGTTGTGATCTGTCTGTCACACAGCAGCAAATGAGGAAGTAGACATCTGAACTGTCACACAGCAGCATTCTCTAGGAGATTAGCAAACTTATGACTAAACCACCTCTATTTCTAGAGACACGTTTCTTTATAGTATAGTTTTTGTGGTGAAAGAACATGTTTATTAACAGACCCGAATATCTTTTAATCTCTCGGTAAAAATAAGTCAAAAGTAGATAAACTTATATTTAGTAATTAATGTTTCAGTATTTTATCTTATTTGGAAATGACCTACACCAAGATATAGATACTGCTTCACTTGAAATTCAAATGGAAGATAAAACTCTAGCTTTGGACCATAAACTTTCACCTTGGGTAATGAAACCTTGCCATTGTAGGGGAGGAAGACATGTCCTCTACCCTCTCTGGGTTCTTCTGGCCAGAGAACGAATTAAATTCACATGAGACCAAATAACAGGGGAAAATTAAACAAAGCTTTATAACTTGTATACATGGGAGAGGCTCAGGCAACCTGAGCAACTCGCCAAAATGGCCGAAGCCACCATCTTAAACATCATCTTCAGCTAAAGGCAAAGGAGGATGTTGGGGGTGGGGGGAGTCAGTTACGGGAGATTATCAGACAAGTACAGTAAACAAGAGTCAAGTTATTGTGCAGATTTAAGTCCTTGCCTTCCGCATTGATTTACCAAGAGTTTCTAGAGATAAGGTCATCCCTCCCTTCTTCCTGGTACAGAGAGGGAGACACCTTTACAGAGGGAGATTTCCTTTACAAATGTAAATATCACTTAACAAAGGGTAAGTAAATTCTACTTTTCAGAGTTTCTTCCCTGTCTGCAGTTTTTTTAAAAGTAACCAGCCCAAAATAAAATCCTCATGCCAAAGAGACATATCAGGTGGCCAATTCCAGTCCCCCACATCTACTACGGTTTCTATCTTTGGCAGTGACCAAAGTGCCATCTACAAGACATAAAACAAGTTAGAATTCCCACAACTCACCGTTTCCCACACCACAGCTTTCCTCCTCTTTTTGAGGTGACACTGGTTTATAGCATTACGTAAGTTTCAGGTGTGCATCATTATATTTTGATGTCTATGTAGATTACATCATGTTCGCCACAAATATTAGCTTTTCCAGCCAAGCCGGCTTGGATGGGCAGTTTCCATCACTGCTTCACTGCTGACCATATGGTAGATTCTTCATCAAGTCCTTCCTTCATGTGTCAGGGACAGACAGCCTTGCCTGGACCAACAGACAGATGCTGGCAAGAGGTGAACCAGGAACCCTTGCTGACAGAGAACACGAGAGAATCTGCAAAGCAGTTTGGACTGTGTTTTGTAAAGGAGATGACTGAAAAGGAGTTAGGATTGCTTTAATTTCACCTCTAAGCAGTACACACCTTTCTAAACCAGCCTGCCACACAGACACAGGCATCCATTACTTGATTTAACACATTTTTATTGAGCTTACTCTGGGCTCAGCTCTGGCATGTGTTGACGCAAATAATCTGTAACCAAACTATAAATCAAAATTGGGGTGAGTTTATTGTAAGCCAGATCTGAGGACTATATAGCCTGGGAGAGTCCTTTCACAAAGGAATGGAACACTCCAAAAAAGCGGGAGTGTACAGAGCGGTTATATACCGTCAAACAGCATGCATCACATAATGATTGGAATGTCCCTTTTACAACAGTCATGAAACTGCCTAGCTGGCACAGTGATTCACACAGCAGGTGATGAACAGAGCAGGTAGCAGGTCTGTGGTCTCCAGCTGGGTGGTCACTACAGGTCAGCAATCAATCCCTAGCCTAGGGAGAGATGCTTGCCCTTAGGGACACGCCCATGTGGGGGGAAGTTACATCTTTCTTTATCTTAAAGGGCACTGTTCTTGTCTTTGGGACATGGTAAATACTTAAAGCAGATGGACAATGCATGCTCAACGGCCACATCAGGCCCTTTTGGAAAACCAAGATCAGGCCGAATTAGTTTTACACCAAATGGCTTCCTCAGATCCTCCAGTATATCCTATTGCTTAACATTTATTTATCACATGTCTGGGATGTTCCAGCTTTTTTTCTGGCTTCAGCCCCAGGCTGCAATGCAAAATGGGTCTACCCAGGTGAGAGAGAAAACAAGAGCTGTCTGACGTGGTAGGGTGGCCTAGTCTCAAAATAGGGCTGGATTCTCAAAGGACAACGTAAAGAAAGCATAAAAAGAGAAATAGGATTCATTTCTTGAGCCCTACTATATGGGGGCCATAAGGCATAGTGACATTCATTCAACAAACTTTGGAATGCTGTGTCCGTGTTAGATGCTAACAGTACCGTGCAGAACAAGACAGATGCCTCACAGCACTGACAGTCTAGTGTCTCACAAATAATGGTGCCAGTTACATTTGGGATAAGTGTCATGGAGGAAGGGTATAGAGACCTCTGGGAGGGGGCACTAGCGAACTGGAGAAGGGAAAACTTCCCTGAAGATGAACATTATGTTAAGAACTGAAGGATGAGAGGAATCAGGGAAGGAAAAAGAGGTTGGTTATAACAGAGAGAGCAAGAGGAGAGATGAGCAAGAATTAAGTCACCCAGGGCTTTGAAAGCCATGTTAACAATTTGATTTGGGAAGCTCCTGAAAGGGTGGAGAATGGCTTACAGGGAGCCAGTGTGGATATAGGGATACCAAATAGAAGGAGAAGGCAGCAGTCCGAGTGAGAGAGAGTGATGGATGGTGGCACTGGACATAGAAAATCAAATATATCTGAGTTACATGGGAAAAAGATTTGAGTTACGTTATCAAGTAAATCCGGGATTCACTGAGTTTGAAGTCTGAGTGAGATATCTATCCTAGTGGAGAGCTTAAGGATAGTAAAAAGTGGATCTGGAGCTCAGCTGAGAGATCTGGGCTGGAGATATAAAATTGAGAATCAAAAGTATACATGATATTTGAAGCTATGGGAGTAGATGAGATCACAGAAGAAAAGAGGGTCTCAGACTGAGTACTAGAAACCAAAACCATTTAAGGATTAGGTAGAGGAATTTTGATGGACAAAGTCACCTCCAGCCAAAGGAAGCCTGGGGTGAGGGCCTGAGCGCTCATTCCTCAGGGTCTGTGGATGCCACCGGCTGGGCTGTGTACAGCTGTGGCTGTTGGCAGGGCTAGCTACATACGTGGTCCTTCACGTGGCATCAAGGATGGAGGGCAGTAACCTTGACCCAAGACGGCGCTGAGGCAGCAGGATCTGGGTTGGAGTCCATTGGCATTAGTCCTATCAGGGTGCGGTTACATACTCTATATCCTTGTCGGTGTCTAAAGACCTGGCTTAGGATCCTGGTCCCCCACTGAAAAGCTGTGTGATTGTGGCCCGGTCACTTTACTTTAACTGTCGGATTCTACATCTGTAAAATGTAGGATTGTCTTAAAGGTTAGCACCATGATGTAGCATGGACTTAATCATCTTGGGTTTTCTGAATAGGATTCTTTCTGTAAGAGTAAGAGTGCCTGGCCTGGGCCTGCCAGGGGTACCTCAAAACTGCTGGACAAACCTGAGGTGTCAACCCCTCTTCCGGATCCGTCTCCCACTACCAGTTGGACCTGGAACAAGAGACCATCTGACTTTCCTTCCTGGTCGTCAGGCACCGGTCTGTGCCCACAGAACCTGTTTGTCTTGGAGATGGGGACAGGTTCCTCTGCCTTATGCCACCCCAGTTTTTCAGACTAAGGTGTGTCAGACTAAGCACTGGACTGGTAAATTTTACATGAAAACCCCCACGCATTGTAAAGGGGAGGCTGAAAAGGAGTTAGGTATGCGTTAATTCCGCCTCTGAACAGTACATGCCATTCTGAAGCCACCCTGCCACACACACCCACTACATACATCACACTCACTTCCTCCCCGAGCACCCCAGAACCTTCCTGCAGAGGTCACAGCTGCCTGTCCTCAAGTTTACTTTACTCCAGTAAACTTACCCCCATTTAACTTTCTCCCCCCTTCAATTCATCCCCAAACTTCCAAAAAGACATTTCTGCTAAGGAGAAAAGATGAATTTGGGGGGCTTGAAGAAAATGAGTTAACAAAATTAAGTCATTTGGGGGGCCAGCCCGGTGGCATAGGGGTTAAGTTCGCACGCTCAGCTTCGATGGCCCGGGGTTCACCGGTTCAGATCCTGGGCGTGGACAAGGCACTGCTTGTCAAGCCATGCTGTGGCAGACGTCCCACATGTAAAATAGAGGAACATGGGCACGGATGTTAGCTCAGGGCCAGTCTTTCTCAGCAAAGAGAGGATTGGCAGCAGATGTTAGCTGAGGGTTAATCTTCCTCAAAAAAAAAAAATAATAATAAGTCATTTGGCCAACCCGAATAGATGTCGGCTCTGTGCCAGCCTTTCTCTGTCAGCCATGAGTCAGTCTGGAGAGGAATATGGTCAGGTCCCTCCCTGGAGCTGACTCTTGCCCTCACTTAGCTCAAATTTAATTGGTGTTCCCATCCTTTTTCTGTCCTTCACCCACCCTGAAGTTGCCAGTGAGTCTGGGCTTCACTAATCCTCCAGATATATCTCGCTATCTCCATCTGAAACCTAGCCTACCCTCGAGCCCCCTGCCCAACTCTCCCCCTTCCTCCCACCACTCGCTTCCCTCCTCGTCCTTGTCTCTCACTCTTCTCTTATCCAGACATCCCCCCTGCCCAGGACCCTCAAAATTAGCAAGAAGGACAAGGAGCCTGAGGGGTGAGCATTTTCACAGAATACCCAGGAAGTCACCAAGCTAGGAGGACACCATCCCTACCACTCTGACGGCCCCTGCCAGACCTGGGCCTCACCTCTCTCCCACGATCACCGTAAGAACCCCCACCGGGTTCCCTGCCTCCAGTCTTGCCCTCTCCAGCATCTATACCAGCAGGGGCTGCTATAATGGACTCGAAAACAGATTTGGACTTGTCGGAACTTTCAAAGGATCAAGGTAAAAGTCCAGGCATAGCATTCCAGGCCCTTCTCCGGATCCCTCCAATCTATCTTTGCACTTTCAACTCCCAATATTTACCCCTCCAACCACATTAAACCTGGAATATTTCCCAGACACGTCCTGTTTATTCCCACCTCCGTACCTCTGCCCGGAGTGCCCTCCCCCTCTCTACACCGCTCCTTGCCTCCTGGGAAAACTCCTGACCGCCTCAAAACTCAGGTGGTAGGTTAAATATGGCCACAAATCTTGGGGACTCTTCCTCACCTCTTGTATCTGGGCTGGTCTTTGACTTGCGTTGACCAACAGAATGTGGTGGAAGTGACGTCATGCATGTCCTGAAGCCCAGGCCTCACAAGGTCTTGTAGTCTCTGCGTCGTCCACCTCGGAACCTGAGGCCACCAGGCCATGAAGCAGCCCAAGATGCAAGAACACAAGGAGAGGGAGGCCCAGCCGTCCCAGCTGAGCCCAGCTCCCAGCTTACACATTACCTGAATAGAGACACATGAGACAGTCCAGGTGGGTCTAGCACAAGAACCTTCTGGGCAACCCACAGAATCTTGAGAAATAAGAAATGCTGGTTGTTTCAAGCCATTAAGTTTGGGGATGGTTTGTTACACAGCAATAGATAAGTGATACAGTCCAGTTCTAACGGGAAGTCTTCCCTGACCTACGCAGGTTCCCTTCTCCAAGCTCCCTCTCCGTGTTTTGGACACATCACATCACTTGATAACCATTTAGTATCTGGCTCTCCCAAGAGATGGTGAGCTCTTGAGGACCAGGACTGAGTCTGCTTCACCTCTCTCCCAGCCACTCACAGTGGTCATGGAACGAAGCCCTTCAACACTTGCCAAATTCAGTATACTCAGATGTCATTAACGTGTTCAGAAAGTATGTCTGTCTGAACATTTTACATGCAACTCACTCAACAAACGTTTTAAAGCACCCCCTATGTTCACAGAACAGGTCCCGGGCCCTGGAGTTGCCCTCAGTCTAGCAGGGAAAACCCATCATTACAACACAGCACTAAAGGGTCATCGCTGGAGGAGTGCAAGGCAGCTGGTGGGTGGAGGTGTCAAGAAAGCTCTCCTAGAAGAGCTGACATTGAGCTTCCTCAGGAAGGGTAAGCAAGCAGTCTCTGCTGGAAGGAAGCTTGGAGCTGTCCCCCCTTCACCCGGCCCCTCGGGAGGAGGAGGGATGTCATGGATTGGTCAGGTTCAAGAATACTGAAGTACGCCACCCTCCTGGGGGTGGGGCTTCAGGGTGTGAAAGAAGGGGGTCAAAGGTAGGTTCAGTCTGGGGACTGCCTCTCTCTCAGACACTCAAGGTAAGATGGGGGCTTGGGCTTCTTCCCACGGGCAAGGAGGAGCGTCTTCTCCTCCTCCCCACTCCCCTCTCCTTAGAGCACCAAGCAAGAGCCAGAGGGAGGCCAAGGGCAAAGGAACCAGGACAAAGCCCCTGGGTTAGGGCTCCACATGGGGGGTTGGGGCCAAAGGGAAGACAAGGTTTATTTACCTGCCATAGCCACTGTGCATAGGGTCCCGAGGAATACCTTGTGTTCGTAGGGGGCTGGTGCAGGACCTGGGAACCTGCATTCCAGTCATTCGTCTCTTGGCATCAAGCCAGAGGAGGGAATAACCAACAGGAACTTTTCCTGTTTCTGGGAAAATAAGGGGAAAAACATTCCAGGCAGAGCAAATAGCATTGTAAAGGCAAGCAAACCTCTATGTGGAGCAACGAACAGGACAGGAGAGGATGGCGATAAGAGTCACAGAGGAACTTCATAAAACGCTGTGTGAGAAGGCTAGACTTAACCCATAAAAAGATGGTCTCCTCTGCCCCGTGAACACTCCTGGGTTAGGTGGTACTTACTGTGTGCCGGGCATGGTTCTAAGTGCCTCATGCCAATCAACTCACGTCACCTCCTGAGGTGCCAAGATAAACAACTTGCCCAAGGTCCCACAGATGAGGGACCCGAGGCTCAAAAGGGTCACATAAGTGGCAGGTCTGCACTCTTTCACGAACACTGCGGCTCTGCAACCATGTTATCAACAGGGACACAGGGTCCATTCAGCGGGACTTACCAGGAGGTTTCCTGAGGAGGCGGGACTTGAGCTGAGTACTGAGGGTCCATGGATCAGGGTGAGCAGAGGCCAGGAAAGCTTAAGCTGCGGGGGCTCCAGGGCACTTTGAGAAAAGCAGGGAATCCAGAAAAAAGAACCACAGAGGGGACGCCCAAAGCTTCAGAGCGGCAGCATCCGGAAACAGTTCAGCAAACCAGCGCCGCCCTCAGGACAAGGCCTGGCCCAACTTTTGGTGCCCTTTATATCAAAAGGCAGCATTGATCCACGTTCCTGGATGAAGTTTATCAAAGTAAACGCAAGTCTGACGGAGACAAATTACTGTTGAGTTAACACTAAGATGGTTTTTGTTTCTGGAGATGATTCTACATGGGGAGAGGAGGTAGAGAAGGCTTTTTCATCATTTTTTTAACTAGCATCCGTCCGGCACTTTAGCATTGACAAAATCATTTTCTTGCTCTTTTTTTTTTTTATTTCCTTGAGTGATGAGTGTTGACTTTCTCAATTTTTCAGATGAGGAAACTGAAACCTAGGAGGTTCACGAATTGAAACAAAGGCGCACAGGCAGGAAAAGAAGCCCACTCAGGCCCAGTTATCCAGACTCCAAATCCTGTTCTTGTTCATTCTTTTATTCTCTCATTCATCGCAAAAAAATGTACCACATGTCCCACGTGTGCCAGGCACGGGACGAGGCCCTGAGCACATGGTGATGGCAAAACAGCTCAGTGCCCCTCGCTGTCTCTCTTCTCTCAGCGCAGCGAACACTGAGGCAGGCCTACTTAAGAGCTCCGGGAACCCACCTCCAGGATTTCTAACGGACTCAGCGATCCCACCAACACCTCTGCCAGGTCTGTTACTTTTCTTTGTGATTAACTGCTGCCATTGTTCACTAACACCTGCTTTGTGCTCATCTTGTGCTGGACATTGTGTGTGGACTATAACACCCAAGCACTAGAGAACAATGCTCTCCAGTAACTCCTCTGTGTGCTAACGACCCAATCTCAAATTATTTCTCGAGCACATAGTTTGTGCAAAGTGTTCATTTAACAAATATTTATTGGTGCCTCTGATAATCATAATAGCTAATATTTGCTTACCACTTACCATGTGCCAAGTACCATGCTAAATTCTTTACATACATTATCATTTAACCTTCACAATAACTCTTAAGAGATGGGTATTAGCTTAAATCAGCTTACTCAGCACATGCAGCTAGAAAGTGGGAGAGGCAGAATTTGAACCCAGGCCACCAGTATTTTCCATCACTATGTGGTCCGGCCTCCAATCCTGTGCAGGTCACTAGGGAGACAGCGGAGCACAACACAGGTGCCATCCCTCCCTCAAGGTGCTTACAGACTAGAAGAGAAGATAAACTTTAAACGAATAATGCTCTGGTCTCCTTTGAGCCACATTAAAGCTTTGCCAAGGAGATGCCTCTTCAAGCGGACCGAGAGGAGGAGGCTGTGCCGTAGGCGAAGGAGGGGGACAGAGGTCCATCCAGGCAGAGGGACACACCAGGGAAAGCTTCTAGGGAAGGAGAGCTCTGCCTGACGGCCAGGGAAGGTGGGTGGCAGTGGGAAGCTGAGGAAAGGAGTGAAGAGTGGCATGGAAACCTGCGTTGTTCACAGGTTCCTCCAGCCGCTGTAGCGGGGGATCGGGTGAGAGCGAGAGCGTGTGCAGAGACCCAGCGGGACCCCCTCCTCCGAGCAGCAGGTGCTAGTGTGGCCCAGCCCATCGATGGTGCGAATGCAAGGGGACAGACTGAGGAAATACTTTGGAGTTAGAATTGGTCAGCTTGGGTGGGGCGATGAGGGAAGGGAGAGAGCTGTTATCCAACACAAACACAGGTTCATTTACCTGCCGCAGAGGAGGGCCAATAGCTGGAGCGTCAGACTTGTGGCAAGGAAAAAGAGGTTTACCATCGAAGGGCAGCCAGAGGAGGAGATGGGAGGTAACACTCAAATCCACCTCCTCAAAGGGAAAAAGGTAGGGGTTTTAGGTAAAGGAGGGGGGAGCCTGCCTGGGACTGTAGGTAGGGGAGAGGAGGGGAGCCTGTCCTGGGGCTGTAGGTAGGGGAGAGGAGGGGAGCCTGCCTGGGGCTCTAGGTAGGGGAGGGGAGGGGAGCCTGCCTGGGGCTGTAGGTAGGGGAGAGGAGGGGGAGCCTGCCTGGGGCTCTAGGTAGGGGAGGGGAGCCTGCCTGGGGCTGTAGGTAGGGGAGAGGAGGGGAGCCTGCCTGGGGCTGTAGGGAGGGGAGGGGAGGGGAGCATGTGGCCTTGCTGTTTGGGGCCTTCCCCCCAGCCTACTTTGGCCTTGAAGACTGAATTTCTTTCCCCTTGACTTGACCTTTCTGGTCAGTTTTCATCTTCAGCCAGTGTTTGGCCTTGTGACGCTGAATCTTGACGTCTGGACCTTGACATCCTGGTCTTACAGGAGCAGGAAGTATACACACTCCTATACTGAGGAAAGACAGAAAGAAGCGGTTAGTTTTAAACAATAGTTGATTCTGCAGGCAGCACAGCTGCTGTTAGCAAAGCTTATCTCAAAGGTTTTGCTCCACTGAGATTTTTAACTCCTTCCTTCTCAGTTTCAGAGTCTGTCCCGGGTTTTGGCTTGACTACAGGGTGGTCAGTGGCACTCTGGGACCCCTCTGGGAAGGAAGGTGAGCGCTCCACACCCACCTGGGTTGCATCTCAGGTGGCCGTGGATCGCCCAGGCAGCTGTTAAGTACTAAGTGGTGGCTGGACACACGGTTCTGGAGCCTGGTGGTCCTAAAGGGGAAGGAGATCATCTTGAACAAAGGTGAAGAGGGTCTAAGACACGGCCCTGGAGACCACCCACTACTAAAGGTCGTCAGAGAGGAGGCAAAGGGCAAAGGGCAAAGGGAACAGAGAGACAGCGTTACAGAGGCAGGAGGGGCGCCAGGAGAGAGTGGCGTCTGAGAAGCAGAGAGGTGTGGCTCTCGAGAAGGCAGGGCCCAGCGTGACTGAGTAAATACAGGACAGACCGTGGTGGTCTGGAATTTGTCCTGGGGGGTCTTCTCGAAGGCAGGGGTCCGGGGCACCTGCGCAGGTGGGGGGCAGTTGGACGCATGGACGAGAGGGCCTGCCTTGGCATATCTGGGGAACAGAAAATAATACCAGCAGGTAGAAATAGAAGGAAGTGGGGCCAGAGGATGCAAAGAGATTAGAATATTGGTGCCATTCATTGACTGGCCACTTTATGCTCATTTAATGCTCCCAACATCCCTGCACAGTAGGAGGTTACTAACCCTTTGTTATAGAGGAGAACACTCAGCCCCAGAAATCAGCAATGACTTCTTCAAGTTGGTACACATAAGCGGTGATGCCAGATTTCTGCCCTGGGTCTGAGTCCAGTACCATCACCGCATCATCACCATCATCAGGTGGCAAGGAAGGAGACAGACTGGAGAGGGGCAGGGCTGGACAAGGAGGGAACACACGTGGAGAGGGCTGGATGCAGAATCAACACGATGTAGAGGGTGGATGCAAACTGAGGGTGGGGAGAGGGTCAGGGCCTCTGGTTGGAGCAACCAGGTGGAGGGAGGAACCATTTGCTCAGGTGAAAAAAGCAGGACGTGGATTCCTGGAAAGATGAAGACTTTGACTTTGACATGACGAGTCTGCTGGGCCTAGGTGACATCCAGGGGGATGTCGGGGGGGGCGGGCAATGAGATACACAGGTCTGTAGGTCAGAACACTCCGGGCTGTGGGAGAGGCGAGAGGCATCAGTGTAATCCGGAATTGTGGCTTCTTTTTACCCTCTTAACAGCAGAGTTCAGAAGGGGCTGGTTCTGGGCTCTGGGAGAGACATGACGGGGGCAGGGTGCCATTCCGCGGATTCACAGACGACTCCTGGCTCACCTCTGACTCGGTTCCCCCCACAGATGGCTTTTCCCTGCCGCAGGTCGATAAAGAACCCCAAGACTCTGACCAGCCTTCTGGTGGGTGTGAGTTTCCTGGCCCTGCATCTGTGGTTTCACCAAGTGCCCAGCTTCCAGCAGGAGAAGAGGGGGGGTGGCTCCCCCCACGCTGCCCCTGTGACCCCTGAGGCCCCTGCTGCCGCGCAGCCTTCGGTGGTCAGTTCAGGGCCCCCGTGTGTGGCCAACGCCTCGGTGAACGCCACGGCCGGCTTCGAGCAGCTGCCCGCGCGCATCCAAGACTTCCTGCGCTACCGCCACTGCCGCCACTTCCCGCTGCTCTGGGACGCGCCGGCCAAGTGCGCGGGCCGCCACGGCGTCTTCCTGCTGCTGGCCGTGAAGTCGTCGCCCGCCAACTACGAGCGGCGCGAGCTCATCCGGCGCACGTGGGGGCAGGAGCGCAGCTACGGCGGGCGGCCGGTGCGCCGCCTCTTCCTGCTGGGCACGCCCGGGCCCGAGGACGCCGAGCGCGCCGAGCGGCTGGCGGCGCTGGTGGCGCTGGAGGCGCGCGAGCACGGCGACGTGCTGCAGTGGGCCTTCGCCGACACCTTCCTGAACCTCACGCTCAAGCACGTGCGCCTGCTGGACTGGCTGGCGGCGCGCTGCCCGCACGCGCGCTTCTTGCTCAGCGGCGACGACGACGTCTTCGTGCACACGGCCAACGTGCTCCGCTTCCTGGAGGCGCAGCCGCCCGACCGCCACCTCTTCGCCGGGCAGCTCATGGACGGCTCGGTGCCCATCCGCGACAGCTGGAGCAAGTACTTCGTGCCGCCGCAGCTCTTCCCCGGGCGGGCCTACCCCGTGTACTGCAGCGGCGGCGGCTTCCTCCTGTCCAGCCACACCATCCGGGCCCTGCACACGGCCGCTCGCCACACGCCGCTCTTCCCCATCGACGACGCCTACATGGGCATGTGTCTGCAGCACGCCGGCCTGGCGCCCAGCGGCCACGAGGGCATCCGGCCCTTCGGGGTGCAGCTGCCCGGCGCCCGGCACCCCTCCTTCGACCCCTGCATGTACCGCGAGCTGCTGCTCGTGCACCGCTTCGCGCCCTACGAGATGCTGCTCATGTGGAAGGCGCTGCACGACCCCGGGCTGAGCTGTGACCGGGGGCGCAGGGTCTCCTGAGGCCGGCTGGGCCGCGCTGGGGGGATGAGCAGCCTCCAAATGTGACGTTTTCCGTGGTGAGAATGCATCTTCCCTGCTCCGGATACCTTCTATCCTACCCATCTTGGTGCAGCTGAATGCCAGCTGCACGTTGGAATCATCTGGGTGGGGGGAGGGGGGGTATGGAAAATACCTCAGTCCTGGTCGCATCTCCACAGGTTCTGATTGCAGTGATCTGGGATGCCCTCAGACGTCTGGGTGTTTGTTAAGGTCCTCAGGTGACTCGAATGTGCAGCTCAGAATGGAGCCCACTGGGTTAGGAATGTCCGTTATCCTTCCAAACCCACCTCCATTGCTCCCTCTTGGAGCCGTCTAGGGCGCCTAGCTCCTGCACTCTAGTCACTGTGGGCAATGGAGCAAGGGAGGTGTCGGGGCCAGGATCCAATGTTACCTGTTGGGTGCAGCACACATACGAGTTGTCACTTGTATCATTTCCTCCACAAATGAGCAGAGCTGGAACTGGAGCTGAACTGACAGTCATGCGATGGATTCCCCTCCCCCGGAAGTCAGTCTACACTAAAAAGCAACACACTAGAGTCAGAGCTGAGAGTGTCTGAGAGTGTCTTCCTCCCACCCAGTTCTCTCCCACCCACTGTGAGGTCAGAATCTCTGCGTGCAAAGTGGGAACCGAGGCCGGGTCAGGGCAGTGACTAATCCAGGGCCATGTCGTCCCCTCCGTGCTGACCCGTCCGTTGGGGCCCCACCCAGGCATGCTTGCCCCACCAATACTCACTCCCCGGGGTCAGAGAAGCCTCTGCATCTTCACACAAGCACTGATCCGTCTACTTGAAATGTCCTCTGACCCCACCACCATCCCTGTCTTTTGCGTCAGTCACAATGCCTGCAGGGGAGGCTGCCAGCCCTCCACCAAAATCTGCTACCCCCTTCCTCCTGACACTCTCCAGACCACACTTCCCAGCCCCCGTTGCAGCTGGCGCGGCAGTGTGACCAGGCTCTCTCCCATGGATGTGTGTGGACGCGATGAGGACCACTCCCGGACCCGGGCTCACCTGTGCTCGCTCTCTCCTTCCCCTGGAGTGGAACATGGATGGGCCTGTGACCCATCCCTGACCTCGCAGATGAGGACAACATCCCAAGCTGGAGCTGGGGTTCTCGACCTCGGCACTGCTGACCTTTTGGGTTGGGCAGCTCTTTGTTGTGGGGGCTGTCCTGCGCTTTGGAGAACATTTAGCCGTGTGTCCTGTCCTCTGCACACTAGAAGCCAGCATCACACCCAGAATCACGACGACCAAATATACCTCTGAACATCGCCAAATGTACCCTGGTGGGCAAATTCGCCCCTGGCTGAGATCCTCTGGCCTAGAGGAAGGCAGAAAAACAAGAGCGTCTCTCAGTTGCTGCCTAGAGCAGAGCTGCCCATGGACTGACCTGGAATACTCAGGCCCGACTATGGAGAAGAACAATGTAAACTTTTATGTGTTTTCAGCCTCTGGGGTTTTGCAGGCTCTTTGCTACAGCAGACTTGCCCCATGTAACCTAACGTGTCCTCTCTGCTCGCTTGTTTCTCCCCAATCAGACTGGCTGCCCCCAGAGAGAGGGACCACGCCTGATTCACATCGAGCTGGCACAGATTGGCTCCGAGGGGACCAAAGGCAAGTCCTGCCACGCCCACTCTGGGAACCTGAGCAGGCCAGCTCACCTCTGAGCCCCTCTGTCCACGCTGATGATCCATGGAGGGAGGGCATGCAATCGCAGCCCTGGTATCACCTGGACTCACCCGGCCTCGCCCGGCTCATCTGGCTCTTGCGCCCCGCGGCCACCAGGGGGCGCCCTCCACCCACGTTTTCCGCGCGGAGGCGGGCGGCGGGTCCTTGGGTCGGTGCAGAGTCGGTGCAAATTCCGGCTCCGGGAGCCTGTGCTGCCGACTCCCTTTACTGGGCCTGCGAACTGACAAGGGCCCCCTGAGCATGGGAAATGATCCTGTCTCCCTCGCAAACACAGGCGCAAAGTCCTACACGAAATGCCAGCAGACGGAACGTGGTACTGCGTAAAAAGGGTAACATCAGCACCTCGGTGGGTTCATCCCCGAAATTCGAGGTGGGGCTAGCGTTAGAAAAGGAATCGGAATATACGAAGAAAAGAGGAAGATCTGTCGATGTGGTACATCACACCAAGAGAAATATGAGTACCTCAGATGAGGGAGAAAAAGAGAATTTTTGATAAAAAATATCCATTCGTGATTTTAAAAAAATCTTAGTACAAGGTGAAAGCATTTCCTCTAAGATCTGGAACAAGACCAGATGTGCCGTCATCACCACTTCTGTTCAACATTGTCCAAGACTTGAGAGCACAGCAAGGCAAGATAAAGCTTCAAAAATATAACAACTTGAAAAAAGAAAGAAAATGATCAAAACCTCAGAGGTTTGCAACCATATCAGATCCAATTTCCCCTTTCTGTAACAAATTGATGCCGTACTCCCTATCCTGAAATGGAATTCTTAGATAACATAATCTGTCCACACAGACATTTTCAAAAAGTCGATATAATTTTTAATTGTAATGTAAAAGATTAATAAGAAATACTTTAAAATAAATAGTATGAATTTTGATGTGTAAATTTTGGGGCATAATGACAAAAAAACTCCCTCGCAGATTTCCAAATCTCCTCCTAAGGGGCAATACGCCTCACTGAGAACCACTGCCTTATATAGAAAACCCACCAAAAAGCCACACTCAAAAATCCTAGATAATTGATTAAATTAATAAAAAGTACCAAGTTTTCCAGATACAAAATTAATGTACAAAAGTCACCTTAGTGGAGCCAGCCTGGTGGCGCAGTGGTTAAGTTTGCACATTCTGTTTCAGCGGCCCGGGTTCACAGGTTCAGATCCCGGGTGCGGACATGGCACCACTTGGCACACCATGCTGTGGCAGGTGTCCCACATATAAAGTAGAGGAAGATGGGCACGGATGTTAGCTCAGGGCCAGCCTTCCTCAGCAAAAAGAGGAGGATTGGCAGCAGTTAACTCAGGGCGAATCTTCCTCACCAAAAAAAAAATAAATGTAGTTTCTATATTGTAATAAGCAGTCAGAAAAAGTCCTTTTTGAAAAAAATTTTTGAGTTAATGATAGCTTACAATCTTGTGAAATTTCAGTTGTACATTATTGTCTGTCAGTTGTGTTGTAGGTGCACCCCTTCACTCTTTGTGCCTACCCCCCACCCCACCTTTCCCCCGTAAGCCACTAATCTGTTCTCTTTGTCTACATTTTCAAATTCCTCATATGAGTGGAGTCATTCAGAAATTGTCCTTCTCTATCTGGCTTATTTCACTTAACATAATTCCCTAAAGGTCCATCCATGGTGTTGGAAATGGGACGATTTTGTTCTTTTTTACGGCTGAGTAGTATTCCATTGTGTATATATACCACATCTTCTTTATCCAATCATCTGTTGATGGGCACTTATGTTGCTTCCACATCTTGGCTATTGTAAATAATGCTGCAATGAATACTGGGGTGCGTGGGACTTTTGGAAATGCTGACTTCAAACTCTTTGGATAGATACCCAGTAGTGGGATGGCTGGGTCATAAGGTATTTCTATTTTTAATTTTTTGAGGAATCTCCATACTGTTTTCCATAGTGGCTGCACCAGTTTGCATTCCCACCAACAGTGTATGAGGGTTCCTTTTTCTCTACAACCTCTCCAACATTTGTTACTATTTGTTTTGGTTATTTTTGTCATTCTAATGGGTGTAAAGTGATATCTTAGTGTAGTTTTGATTTGCATTTCCCTGATGATCAGCGGTGATGAGCATCTTTGCATGTGCCTATTGGCCATCCGTATATCTTCTTTGAAGAAATGTCTGTTCGTGTCTCCTGCCCATTTTTTGATCAGGTTGTTTGATTTTTTGTTGTTGAGTTGTGTGAGTTCTTTATATATTATGGATATTAAGCCTTTGTCAGATATATGACTTGCAAATATTTTTTCCCAGTTAGTGGGTTGTCTTTTTGTTTCAATCCTGTTTTCCTTTGCCTTGAAGAAGCTCTTTAGTCTGATGAAGTCCCATTTGTTTATTCTTTCTATTGTTTCCCTTCTCTGAGAAGACATGGTGTCCGAAAAGATCCTTTTAATACTGATGTCAAAGAGTGTACTGCCTACATTTTCTTCTAGAAGCCTTATGGTTTCAGGTCTCAGCTTTAGGTCTTTGATCCATTTTGAGTTTATTTTGGTGAATGGTGAGAAAGAATGGTCAATTTTCATTCTTTTACATGTGGCTTTCCAGTTTTCCCAGCACCATTTGTTGAAAAGACTTTCTTTTCTCCATTGTAGGCCCTCAGCTCCTTTGTCAAAGATTAGCTGTCCATAGATGTGTGGTTTTATTTCTGGGCTTTCAATTCTGTTCCATTGATCTGTGCACCTGTTTTTGTACCAGTAACATGCTGTTTTGATTACTGTAGCTTTGTAGTATGTTTTGAAGTCAGGGATTGTGATGCCTCCAGCTGTGTTCTTTTTTCTCAGGATTGCTTTAGCAATTCGGGGTCTTTTGTTGCCCCATATGAATTTTAGGATTCTTTGTTCTATTTCTGTAAAGAATGTCATTGGGATTCTGATTGGGATGGCATTGAATGTGTAGATTGCTTTAGGTAGAACGGACATTTTAACTATGTTTATTCTTCCAATCCATGTACATGGAATGTCTTTCCATCTCTTTATGTCGCCACCCATTTCTTTCAGAAAAGCCTTGTAGTTTTCGTTGTATAGGTCTTTCACTTCCTTAGTTAAATTCACCCTGAGGTATTGTATTCTTTTTGTTGTAATTGTGAATGGTATTCTGTTCTTGAGTTCTTTTTCTGTTAGTTCGTTATTAGAGTATAGAAATGCTACTGATTTATGTAAATTGATTTTATACCCTGCAACTTTCCTGTAGTTGTTGATTATATCTAAAAGTTTTCCAATGGATTCTTTGTGGTTTTCTCTATGTAAGATCATGTCATCTGCAAACAGTGAGAGTTTCACTTCTTCCCTCCCTATTTGGATTCCTTTTATTCGTTTTTCTTGCCTGATTGCTCTGGCCAGGACCTCCAGTACTATGTTCAATAAGAGTGGTGATAGAGGGCATCCTTGTCTCGTTCCTGTTTTCAGGGGGATGGCGTTCAGTTTTTGCCCATTGAGCATGACGTTGGCTGTGGGTTTGTCATATATGGCCTTTATTATGTTGAGGTAGTTCCCTTCTGTCCCCATTTTGTTCAGAGTTTTTATCATAAATGGCTGTTGGATCTTGTCAAATGCTTTCTCTGTATCTATTGAGATGATCATGTGGTTTTTATTCCTCAGTTTGTTGATGTGGTGTATCACGTTGATTGATTTGCGGATGTTGAACCATCCCTGTGTCCCTGGTATGAATCCCACTTGATCATGATGTATGATCCTTCTGATGAAGTGCTGAATTCGGGTTGCCAAAATTTTGTTGAGAATTTTTGCATCTATGTTCATCAGCGATATTGGCCTGTAGTTCTCCTTTATTGTGCTGTGCTTGTCAGGCTTTGGTATCAGCGTGACGTTGGCCTCATAGAATGTGTTAGGAAGTGTTCCATCCTCCCTAATTTTTTGGAATAGCTTGAAAAGGATAGGTATTAAATCCTCTCTGAAAGTTTGGTAGAATTCCCCAGGAAAGCCATCTGGTCCAGGGGTTTTATTCTTTGGGATGTTTTTGATTGCTGTTTCAAACTCTTTCCTTGTCATTGGTCTATTCAAATTGTCTGCTTCTTCTTGAGTGAGCTTTGGGAAATTGTAGGAGTCCAAGAATTTATCCATTTCCTCTAGGTTATACATTTTGTTGGCATATAGTTTTTCGTAGTATTCTCTTATAATCCGTTCTATTTCTGCAGAGTCTGTTGTTATTGCTCCTCTTTCATTTCTGATTTTGTTTATTTGAGCTTTCTCCCTTTTTCGCTTTGTAAGTCTGGCTAGGGGCTTGTCAATTTTGTTTATCTTCTCAAAGAACCAGCTCTTTGTTTCACTGAGCCTTTCTACTGCCTTTTTTGTTTCAACAGCATTTATTTCTGCTCTGATTTTTACTATTTCTCTCCTTCTGCTGACTTTGGGCTTTGTTTGATCTTCTTTCTCTAGCTCAGTTAGCTGTAGTTTTAAGATTGCTTATTTGGAATTTTTCTTGTTTGTTCAGATGTGCCTGTATTGTGATGAATTTTCCTCTTAATACAGCTTTTGCTGTATCCCATATGAGTTGATATGGCATGTTATCATTTTCCTTTTTCTCCAGGTATTTTTTGATTTCTTCTTTAATTTCTTCAATGATCCATTGCTTGTTCAATAGCATATTGTTTAGTCTCCACATCTTTGTGCCTTTCTCAGCTTTTTTCTTGCAATTAATTTCTAGCTTTATAGCATTATGATCGGAGAAGATGCTTGTTATTATTTCAATTTTTTTAAATTTGTAGAGGCTTGCCTTTTTTCCTAACATATGGTCTATCCTTGAGAATGTTCCATGCACGCTTGAGAAGAACGTGTTTTCTGCTGTTTTTTGATGCAGTGTTCTATACATGTCTATTATGTCCAACTTTTTAGCTTTTCATGTAGCTCCACTGTTTCCTTGTTGATTTTCTGTCTGGATGATGTGTCCAATGATGTGAGTGGGGTGTTGAGGTCCCCTACTATTATTGTGTTATTTTTGATATCTTCTTTTAGGTTTGTTAATAGTTGCTTTATGAACTTTGGTGCTCCTGTGTTGGGTGCATAGGTATTTATAAGCATTATTTCTACTTGATGAAGTGTCCCTTTCATCATTATATATTGGCCCTCTGTGTCTCTCTTTACCTGCATTATCTTGAAGTCTGTTTTGTCTGATATAAGTATTGCAACACCTGCTTTCTTTTGTTTGCTAGTAGCTTGGAGTATTGTCTTCCACCCCTTCACTCTGAGCCTGTGTTTGTCCTTGGAGCTGAGGTGTGTTTCCTGGAGGCAACAAGTTGTTGTATCTTGTTCTTTAATCCATTTTGTCACTCTGTGTCTTTTTATTGGCGAGTTCAATCCGTTTCCACTGAGGGTGAGTAGTGATGCATGAGGGCTTAATGCTGTCATTCCGTTGCTCGTTTTCTGGTTTTCCTGTGTTTCCTTTGTTTCTCGTCCTGTGTGTTTTAGCCTACCCATTGACTTCTGCAATTTCTTATGCTGGGTTTCTTAGATTTTTCCTTATTTATGTTTTGTGGCTCTGTTCTGTTTTTTAGTTTGCTGGCTACCCTGAAGTTTGTATTCAGAATCTCGTGTATAACATAGTTCATTTTCTGGTGGTCTCTTACTTACTTAGCCTAGACTGTTTCAGTCCCTTTCCTCCTCCCCTCCTAAATTATTATTTTCCTCTCTTATTCCAACTCGTGTTGTGAGTTTGTGGTTAGAGTGATAAGATTGTCTTTGCTTTGGTGATTTCCTTCCCTTTATCCTAATGCTGTAGTTCAATATTTTCTATCCTATTCTGATTCTATCTAGTTGTCTCCCTACTATGTGTTTTGTGACCCCTTTCTCCAGTTTTTTCTTTTTTCAGGTATGAGATCCTTCTTGAAGATTTCTTGTAGTGGAGGACTTTTGCCTAC